CACATCCCTTACTAAGAAGATTAGGAACGATAGGTATATCAGATGTATAATATCAACATTATTTAACCTTGCACAACTAGTTTCATCCTGGCTGGGAACTACCAAAGTAAAATGACCAAATCGAGTATCTAACTAATTTGAAGATTTTATATTTGAATTGGTGAAGATCAAAGAGGTTAAATAGGTTTGGGCTTTATATGACAGGTCATTTAAACTAATTTCCATACCAGGATGTAGCTTTTCTTTTATATCTTGTTCTTGCCAATGTAACACAGCTGTAACACTGGAGATGTTTTCTTCTGCTAACTGAACTGAAAAAATGTAATTTATACAGAAATATGTAAAACAAGCCCCATTAATCCTATATACCACCAACCCTGAATTTACTGTGTGGTTACACAACGATTTGCTGTGAAATGATTCAGAAGGAAACAGAACGCTGAGCATCGGAAAAACAGAGTAGGTCAGATGCCCAAGATCGACTAACAGGTGTAAATGCATTTTTCCCAAATAGAGTTTTGAAATGTGAAAATCAAAAAGGCAAAGGTGTGAATAAATAAATTCAAAAAACAGATGACGACTGAATAACAATAAGCTGCTTTAGTTTCAGGATGTTGGCAATGTGCAGGCTGACTCACAGCCACGGCCCGGTGGGACTCGCGAACAGAACATGGCCATAGTTGATGCTTTCAGTAACACGTGCATTTCTGATGGTAAGTCTAAACGTCTGCTGTGGAAAGGTATTTAGCGCCTGTCATGAAACCACACCTTAAAATACGTGAATATATTAAGTGAACACATGTTGGACGCCCTGACAGTCAAGTCACTTTATTTTATTTATTATCATTTTTACTTTTTAATGTGAAAATCCCTCTTTGCCAGTACCCATACTAAATACTATACATAATATATCATTTATGGTAATTATGTTTTCAGAATCCTAAAACATTGCTTCCTTGTGTCAGTGTTATCAAAGTGTTGCATATTATCCTTATTATCAATACTTAATAAGAGCAATAATATACCACAATTGGACTTTGCTGCCCTAAATTAACCACATATTCCTAATGTCTCAATCCAGTTTCCACATTTTCACGGGAACAGACAGTGACCCTTTGCTCCGTGACAGCGCCCACTGTGTTCCCTGCCCAGAGACACAAGTCAAAACTAATTAATGAAAGCAATGACAGTGATTTAGTTTTCTGTCAGGCTAGGTGCTCATTTCTCCTCCACTAGTTTGTAGGATATTTCTATCCCCCTGAGTTCTGACCTTCTGCCTGGCCCAGGGAGCGAGTGGGACGTTTTTTCTCTTGGGGGGGATAATTCTAGTTTATTTAGGCTTTGGTTGCACAAAATGCTGCAACGTCATGAAACAAATCAGAACAAACACAATCAGGCAAAAGTTCTGTACATGTTTTCTAACACGTCACTAGAAGGAAAGCGCAAAAGCTGGAAGACGACAGTAAATCCCCTCACTGCACCGGAAAACCGCAAACCAACAACTATGGTACTACAAATTGCTCAAAAGTAAACCTGAAAGTTAGTCTGTAGACCATGATGGATATGTACAACGGACAGGTTGTTATACCTGTTTTGCGCCTTTGTTTTTTTATTGCTAATAAAAGGTTTCCAAACAGCAGTTTGTTTAAAACCTCCTTCCTGTGTCAACATCTGACTGCTTGCGTTTCTCGCACATGATGTCTCAGCATTTACTCTGGGGAGATTTAAGATTTAAGGACTTATCCTTAAATAGGCAAATAAAAATTGTTATTTTAATTAAAAATAAACTAGAATGAAGCCTTTTCAAAGGCTGTAAGGTTAATATTTGTGGTATTCTTTGTGGTGGTCAGAGGAGCCCTCATAAGAACTCACTAATTGCACAGTTGCACAGTTACGCCGTAGAGGCATTTGGAGATGTTTGTCTGCAGTAGGCTGCACTGTTCCAGTGTGAATAGAAAGCGGTAATATTAATTCATGCTCTACTCCCGGTGCATAATTTGGATTCTCTCTCACTCCCTTCCCAGGTGGTCAGATGGACTCAGCTGTAAGAGAAAGAGGAGCGTGTGAGCGGTATTTCTGTATTACGTGGTGATGACTTCTTTCTACCATTATTCTTTCACTGACTGCCTCTGCAGGCCCGTTTAGTGAATCAGCTGTTGAGAACATTAGGAAAAATGACTTTGTTTCTAGACCGGGGCTGGTTCAAATATCGTTTGTCTTCAGAGCTGCGTGCGCAACACAGCCAGGCCTCTCTCCACCTGGTACTGTCTTCACGTTACCATTTATTGTACTTTGGTGGGATCGTAATACATCCAATTGGATTTCTCCCCCATTGCCAGACTCGCTTCAATCTCTGCTGCCCCTGATCTGTGCGCCTGTGTGGTATTAGTTATGGAGGCTCTCTCTGCAGGGTCGTATGAGGCTATAAAGGAACAGTCATTTCCTAGATTCTCGGCCGCGTCGGACACCTGCGCAGGAAGTCAATACGTGGGTTGCCTCTGGATAACGAGACCTTCAGAACTAGTCCTTCCACTCTCTCGGTGTAGCTTGACCATAAATAATGCTCTGCTGCAACCTTCGCCATACCACGGCTGGTATAGCTGGTGTTAATTCACTGACTACCCACAGTCGGCCTACATCAAGCCGCGCATGGACAGCTGAACGATAAAAGGGAAATGCAGTTTGGTAACAAGGAATCATAAAAATATGAGGAAATCATTTATACAACCTTTTAAAATGTTGTTTCCCCTCAGTGTTTGAAATGGTTTTGAATATCTACCATAGAAGCAAAGCTCCACCTAAAATCCAAAGAGTATCTAACGCTCATCCCCTGTAGGCTTGGCGGATGCATAGGCTGTAAATGTTTATAGCTTTAAAGCTTCAAGGACAGTAAGAGCACAACACGGCAATCACGCTATGTAGATTGCAGAAAGGGTTCGTCACAATTCTCTGGACATTTTGATTGTTTTTCCAACAGGTCTGGTTGTCCCCAAATGAGTCTCTAGTGAAATAAATCCACGGTGACCAAAAAAACTTCCACCAGCGGCTGTTTGTGTTTGTGTGTTTGACCTTCAAAAAAATAGATGATTGAATGGTTCCCGTTGATGGCAGATCTGAGCGGTTTGAGTATTTTTAGGCAAAATAATCGACTGCGAAATGCTGATTGACTGTGAGGGTAACTAATTCCTTTGGTACAGTTTTCAATTAAAGCTTTTTATAACCCAAGTCTTAAATGTGTCTCACAGTCAAGCTGTATTGGTCTTCAAGTACACAGGTCACATTACTACTGCACATGTGTAACATCAAGCTTGGCCATGTTAATTATGGATAAATAATATGGATTGAAGCTGTGCCTTCTGAGAGCAAACCTCTAGGGGCTTCTCACCTATGTAAATGGTAACAGCAGGGAAAACATTGATGGACAATGTGCAGGGGAAAATAAGACAAGCGTGAGAGTCGTGACATTGAATGTGATAACGAATGGCAATTTACAGGCAGTGTAAATGACCGCTGGTGAGGGAAATACAATGATCCAATGCCGGGGCTGATGCTAAACGACTACCTTCCATACACCACATTCTACAGGTAGTGACATCCATAAACGTTGGTCAACCCCGCACAGATCTTATCTTAGTTGTGGAAAATGTGCGTCACAGAACCGTAATTAAACAAGCAGGATTACAATTTAGCGTATGGGTGTGGAATGATTTGTTCGACTGTTTGCAGATAGCACGGAGTCGATGGCCTAATTACACCGAGGGAGGTCACTGCCCCCCATTTCACCAGAGGCCGGTGATAGCTGCGATTTCATATGGTATCGGCTTTACACTTGGTCTACAGATTGATGAATCATATTTGCACAAAACACATCGAATTCCAACCTTGAAAATGTTTCACCCGTCATTCAATGGTGTGCAAGTGATTCAGAAAATGCTGAAAATGTGTTTTCTTTTTAAAAGCACTGGCAGATAGAAGTAAAAAAGAAGAGATAAACATAGTTTCTATCATAGGTTGCGTGATTGATTGATTGACACAAATTAAAACTGGACAATTAAACAAAATTGTTGTTAATTTGTTTGTCCCCTGTAACAAGTTAAGCACTTACATATGATTAAAGCAAGAGTAGAACTGCACATCAAAAGACGACATTCTTTCATTATCCAATAGTTGGGAGTGTGTCAATGAGCAAAGTCTGAGTCATTAAATCAGAACTTCTTTGAGTTAATGATGCACGTCGCCGCAAAGTATGCGGCACAAAGAGGGTGCAAAACAAATGCATTTGAAGAAATGAGCAAAGCAGAACAATAGCAAAAGCAAAGCGGGAAGGAATCATTAAATAGATCACGGGGAAGACACTGTCACTTTGAAGACACACACGTCCCACTGAGCCGGAGCCTCGAGAGCAAACAATGCCGATAGGCTGCAGGGAGCATCTCGCAGCCTTCTCACCGAGAAACAGCCCGCAGATTAAAAGGTTCCTTTAATCCGACAAAGGGGATTAAAATGCTACAAGAGGGACGAGAGGACCGCTCCCACGGAGGGGCTGAGATGCATTATTAACACCTCTCCTCAAGACTGGTGAGCCAAGTCTGTAGACCTAGTCTCACAGTTCCGAGACTCCGGTGGCATGTCCCGGCCAACGGGCGTTCCAGGTGGCCCAGATGGACGTGATCTTGCTCAACAAACTCCGCCGCACAGAGACGGGGGACGCAGTAGTGAGAGGGGAGTGGTTTACAAAAAAAGTCTGTGGGATGAAAACTCTGAAACGGTGAAAAATGTTAACTAGTGTTTTCGTTGTTGGGCATCTTATGCCGCGTGAACAAAAAATTGTACACACCTCCACGGAGAGTAAGTAAAACGGAGAGTCGAGACTTTTCAAATAATTCACATCTCGGACTGTTTTCCGGACAAGGTCAGTCATGTTTCAAAAGGTTACACCATCCCCACCGAGGTCACCTGACACGCACACACATAAATCACGGTTTGCGCCCATCACTTACCCCCCTTGTTCCATCTGCCTTTAGTCCTGGCCTGATCGGTGAGTTTGGGACAGCCGCAAAGGACCAAGATTAAAAAAACAAGTTCAAACACAGAAAGAAATCCAGACTTTGACCTGGAAAACATGTCCAAGAGTTGCCGGCAGCCGAGTCACTTTCACATGGCTGTGCTTCCTCCTCGTGCGGCGCGGCTGTGGCGCACGGTAACCCATGCGTGGGCTGTCATCATCAGTCACGCCGGTGTCAGCAGTGGCTCTCTAGTCCTACCATGGTGCTTTGCGACGCCCCGGCTGGGTGCTGGTCTTCACTGATGCTGGAGCTTCGGGGTGAAGCCACATCCACCCGCCCTCCCTCCCCCCACCCCCCCTTTTTTCTGTAAGCTCACCAGAGCGCCCGGGAACCAGACGGGGGAACACACAGCTTGCCACGCGACGGATCGGCTCAGCCACGCTCGGCACAGTGCATAGGAACTCGCGCTCACTCAGGCTCCCTCCCTCCTTCTCTCTCTCGCTCTCTCTTTCTCTCACACACACTCTCTCATACACACTGAGACTCACACACACTCCCTCTCTCAGCGTCTCTCAGCGTCTCTCTCACGCTCGCTGCTGCTGCTGCCGCCGCCGTTGATGCCACTGAATTATTTCCTGCGCTGCTCGCTGGGAGTTCCAGAGGGAATTCACTCCGACGTGCTCCGTCTTTTGCTTCGTGCATCGTGGGGGAGAGACGAGCGGCACTCAGGAAAGAATTCTCGAGGGGAGGTGGGGGGGGGGGGTGTTGGACTGAAGATGTCTGGCAGTTTACACCAACAATCACCTTTGTGGAGATGTTTTAATGTCAGGAAGACATTTGCATGGAGATTGCGTCCCCTTTGCCAAAGCGAGAGGACGGGCTTGACCGGGGGCAGCGGAGCTCGGAGAGACTGAGGAAGTGAGTAAGATATCGGGAAAAAGCACACCTCCCGACACGCCCACCCACCATTCAACTGTGACAGCCCCATGTCGAAAAGGTGTCCTAAATATACAGTCAAACCAAACTACTGTGACGATATTACTCGTTTTGGAGCATGCATTTGAAAACTACATTTTGAGCTTGAACCAAAAGAAAATGTGCTATAAATCATATTTGTCAATTATAAAAACATGCTCAAGTCGAATAAGTTGTTTTGCGCAGTCTCTCTTAACCCTTCGTCTTTCATTGTGTTTTAAATGGAGAAAAAACATTTTTGGGGTCGATAAAAAGTCCAACATAACAGCCCACTGTGACGTCATTCTTTCCAGCCAAAAGACAGAAATGAAATTTCCGATAATAAACTAGATAAAAGCGCCACAACTTTCTTCAAATTTGAGGCAGTGGCACCAGAGGCTATTTCCCCTATTTGATGCTTCTCTGCGGGTGCTGCAATGGAAACTGTTGGCAGCCAAAGCAAGGAAACTGCAAAATGTGTTCAAAACAGTGGAATAGTGTCCAACTTCTCCAACGTACCGCAGCCATGGACAGACATTATGTTGTAAGAGCTTGTCTCCTGGAAGCTCTTACAACAAACTGTTTATCAAGTCAGCCTTAAAGCAGCATTTCTCTGACTAAGCTCCAAGGTCATTATGCTCCCTAGTCAATAAAACAGGTACTTCACAGTGACCAGGCAGCACTGTGCACACACCACGGCTTTAATGTCCTAATTACAGCTTTAGGAACCCCGTGATCAAGTCCATAATGTTTTATACACAGTGCAAATTAATAGCATGAATCCGCACGTAATATCCACCTTTCTACCTGCACCCCTCCACCCCCACTCCTCCCGCCCTCCCCCCTCACTACACGCTCTCTAGCTCTTCGTTCATAACAACCTGGAATAACACAAGTAATCTTAATTAGGCCATCTGCATGTATCAAAAGAAAATGTGAAAAATATGTTTATATTGTCAGAGAAACCAGCAGGAGCATCTGTTGGCAATACATATTTCTGATGACAGATAAACAACCGCAAGGTTTTCTTCTCGCTGGGCTGTTTGACCGAAGTCGAAAAACAAAGTAAAAACATCAACATAAAGTATGACACCCTTTGTTAATTGAGTTATATCATTTTAAAGCAAATCTGCACTTGTCAAGGTAACTTTAAACCTTAACGCGACAATAAACGTATCTATCTGCATGTGTACAAGTCTAAGTGGAGTTTTCCCTCAGTAGCCTGGAGCCTTCTGTGTTCAACAGTAATTCTCAGAGATTATTCTCTTTGCATATAAGCAGCCTAGCGTGCTACCTTTGGCACCACATTTAAATAATGCTGGCGAGAATAAACACCAGATAGCTTAGATGCAAGTGGTTAGTGGAGGACGACGTGAAAATATACGGAGCATGTGGAACAGCTTGTGCTAAATAGTAAGTGGTCCACAGTGGCAGCTCGATACAGTCAGTGTAACATGTCTGTGCTTCTTGTACGCCACGAGTGTAGAGCAAGGACCTTGATGATAACAATTGTTGCTCTAATAGATCGAGGTAGTGTTGCAGAATATGAATTTAGACCTTAGAAGATACAGTTTGTAGTGCCACCACGAGCACAAAAGGCTTTGCCATCAAAGATTAATAGCTAAACGACAGTGGGCATCAGTCTCCGTTCCATGGGACTGGACAACAAATGCGACTACACATTATGTAGAAGAAGTTCTGCATAGTTTCATTCTGCAAGTTCAGAATGAGAGAAAGAGCACAGATTTTTACCCCCCCCAAAAAATAAAAACTGGCGCGGCCTGCCATTGGCGGATAAAAAGGGACGGACTTTGACGGCTGCTGCCTCTCGTGTAAAATTTAGTTCACGCAGACATAAATCTGGTGAAGTGTAGCTGGAATTAGCATTCACAGCCTCTTTGTCTACGGCCCCTTTGAGCCCGTTACACCAACCACTCAGAGATGCGTTTGATTTAGAACACTTCTTTAAAACAGCACATACAAACAGCGGAGAGGAGAGGAGGAATAAGAGTGGAGCGCGTGCAGCGTGCGATAGTCAACAAACTAGATGCTTAGTAAGGTGCTGTCGCCAAAACAAAGGAGTAAAGCGGAGTATAGGGTGGAGTAAAAGTAGGGCGGGGGCTTCGAGAACTCCTACATCCACACTGGTGCCGTCCGACAGCTTATCACCCACAGACAAGAGGCCCCTGGATAAATGTGGTCAAGCAGGAGGAGAGGCCCCGGCTACAGCAGTGACGGGGTGCAGGACAGCGATAAGGACGAAGCTCCGCGGCGAAATGGGGGAGCGAGGCAAGGGGCCCCCGGGCGGGGAAACTCAGCCAACAGCGACGCTCATTCCAGCTCTCGCTGGCTAAACCTCTTAAAAAATTTACACATAGGCATTCACCATACTCAGCAAATATAGGTTACGGCATGCGTGCGTTCATGTGTCTCTTGAGTGCAACTCCGTCTGTGCGAGAGGGGAAGACAAGAGCACATTTTCACATCTTACATCTGAACGCAGAAATGGAGGGTAAGTGTGTGGAGTGGGATGGGCTGAGGGGTAAAATAAAAAGGGAGGAGAGGAGAGGAGAGTAGAAAGAGGAGAGAGAGGCAGAAACAGAAGGAGGGAGAAAATGCCTTCTCGATGTTTTTTCCCTCGCCGGCCTCTTGAAAACACACCATGTAATTTGCTTTTTCACAGGAAGTGAGCGAGCGAGCACCATGAATTGATCCCTTGATGGAGATCTGGCTCTTTATGTAGCCGTTTTCTCCTCCGCGCATCTGTCTGCCCAGATACTGGATAATCTGCTGGCTCCCGGCATTCCTAATCCAGCCATCCATCCCCAATCACTCCGCCCATGTGTGTCCCAGCACAGGACAGGGGTGTAGTTTGGAGGTCTATGATGGTGGAGATGTGGTTGTTTGTCGCTCTTGAAACGACTGTCGTGCAGCACTGAAATAATGATTTCTCCTGCAATCCTAACCTCTGGGTAATGATTAGTGTTCTAATTACAATCAAAGTCAGAGCGCAGCGAGTTCCCAGCAGATAATCAGCAGTGGAACCCTTCTTTTGTTAGCAGCTCAATGCAGCGTTTTCATTAAATTCTTAAGAATATCTGCATTCCAAAGCTGGGATATCCATAGCAGTCGGCTTGTTTGTGTTTTTATTCTAACTTTCACTCAAAATGTACCAGCGTGCAGTGTGCAAAACAACATGCTTGAATGGAGCACTACGTCCTGCACGGCTCCTGGCAACCAAATGCTAAACATCATGAGCAGATTACAGCTCTGTTGGGCAATCCAAATAAGTAAACAAGGGCATTGCTCGTATGAAACGATTAATAAACATGACTTTTGTGTACATACGTGTTTTGGCTTGTTTGTCAGACATCACTGGGAAAATCTGGACTCATTGTGAATATACAGCAATGTCCATTAAGATACATCTCAAAGTTTCATCTTGAGTAAATGTCACGTAATTTCTAACAAAATTGGATGAGGAACTATGCCTTTGCAATAGACTGCTTGTGTAAAAATGAAATGTAGGTGCTCCCTTCAAACTCAACATGGATGATCAGATTTCGTAAACTAATCAAGAATGTATTGTGCTCTGCTCCTCCAAAGCAGCCAGTACTAAACAGCTCTTCAATCAAATTGCGTGTACAGGCATCCATATGTAAATGTTATATGCAACCATTGAGAACAGTCCGGGATTGTAATAATGTACATGTAAACAGCAATTTAAATCAAGTGTGGCGCAAGCCGAAGGTGGCATTACGCTGGGAATAAATTCCCTTACAATCAATCCTTTAAACGTTATAAACTCGGACAGAGAATGCGTCTTTGAATGGTCCCGCAAGTCAAAGAACAGAAAGGTAATAAGAATCAGAATGAGTTAGTGATGGCTGTCATAAACTATGGCAGGAGCTTCTATTTACAACATGTAATAAAACTGCCTCTGCTGCGATTTACAGGGATGCCGGCCCGCAGAGCTTAAACCCCTTCTGCCAAGGGCATGTTAATAACCTCCATAGTGCATTCTGAATATATTGGCAGATGGACATTTTGTCTAATAGAGCATTGCAAACTGGAAAGCGGGCTCTAAAAAAGCCTCAGTGTCATGCTTGTGTGTTGCTCCTACGGCAGCGTGGCTCCAGCCGGAATTTTCAATCCATTTTAGAGATCAGCTGTTCTCTCGTCTCGGCACTGGAGACCCACGGCCCCCCTTTCACACCGAACACGTGGCCATGGCAGGACCTTATTAACAGGGTACCGCTTTAGAATTATAGACAAATCTTTCACAAGGAATATTGGGTCAATATCAATAAGGGGTGCGCACACAAAGCCGGGTTGAAAGTTTGTTACAGTGTCAAAGATTTGATGT